ATATTTTTTTCCATAAGTTGAGAAAAAAAAATAAATAAAATTAGGAAAATTAACTTTTCCAAGTTAAATAGAAGTTGTTATAGTTTTTCTTCGGAAAATCTTTACTATTGAAATCATTAGTGTCCTAGGGTAATGCTTGTTTGGTGTAAACTAACTTTCTAACGATCAAACTCTGACCCACTTTGAAAGTGTAACATTTTTTCTCTCTTGAAAATCAGCCCTTTTCTATATATATATAATATTATAAATTAATAATGTAATGTATTGCTTAACTTGAAACTTTACAAAATCTACTAATTTATTGGTAAATTTGACTTTAACTTTATTATTAGTTAGATTAATTAATTAAGTGCGTCTTGTGATAATTCCAAACTAGGCAAAGTTGTTACATTAACTTTTAACAAAATTCCTAACCAATGATTTTAAAAAAATAAGAGACTTAAAGTTTGTAGATGAAAAATAAAATTTTGTAAAAAATATAGAAAATATTAAATATAAAAATTAAAAATCTTAAATATAAATATTAAATATAATAGTAGGACAATTAAAAGAAAAAAAAATTAAATGGATTACATTCAATTTGAATTAATATGTGAAAAACGAATTCTAAATAAAGAAAGGAAACAATTGAGAATTTTCATTTCGAATTGCACTTTCATTGAATTTAATTTTGACTAAACTTTAAAATTTTTAAAGATGTTCATTTTCCTTTTCACTTTTGTTTTTACTTTTACTTTCATTTTGATACATTTTGAATTAATATTTTTCACTTTCATTTGTACCAAAATTGAAATTAATTTTTTTTTCACTTTCACTTTCACTTTCATTAAAATTAAATCTAATTTCATTCACTCAAAGTGTAAGTTATAAAAGAATGAATTTAATTTTAGTTAAAGTGATAATAAGTTGTAAACTTTTTAAATAATAATAATAATAAACATGGATTCAAGGGGTTGAAGAAAAGAAAAAATGAATTACCTCTTTAATACCTTTTTTTTAGATTTTTTCCTCTTATGAAAATTGAAGAAAAAGGTGAAAAGTTTGCAAAAAGTGAATAGAGTATATCCATCAGTGTCAAATTAGGCGTACTGTCAAGGTGCCGCCGACGACGACGACGACGACGACGACGAGGTAGGAGAGGAGAAAAAGCTCCAGGAGACCAAGAAGGACTGTAGTCGAAGTGATTAGAGAGATAAAAAATAGAAGACCTCCAGTGAAGACTGAGATGGATCACAATAGTCATTCAGAGTCGTATGCTGACGTGCTGAACAAACTTAATCCGCAGACGTTAGCCACACGAGAGTTGTGTTGAGGTGCAATAGGAAGAAAGTCGTCGTCTTGATTAAAATCGAAGGTGACTCCAACAAGGGGATTTTCGCCTTGTCACCATAAAGGCAGTCGACGAAGGTGGTCAGGTGCATTAGACTTTTGGTCCTTTCTGGGATTTAGGGAACGTTCCACATCCACAAGGCTAAAACTTCTGACAACTTTTGAAATGCCAACGCCAAATTCGCTGGACAGGACCAATTGTGTATTTTAGCTGCGGTACACAGTGAGACAATAGATAAAATTATAGACAAAAGTATATTACTATGTCAATTTTAATTGCGAATAAATGAAATCAATAGAGTGATTTTTATATTTCACTTCACTTCACTCACTATTGATTTTTACTTCACTCTTCATTCACTTTCACTTCACTATTACTTTACTTTCAATTTTCATTCACTTCACTTTCATTTTATTCACAATTCATTTTCACTTCACTCTAAGATCAAATCACTTCACTTTACTCTAAATTTACTTTCCTTCACTTTTACGTCACTCTCAGTTTACTCCCACTTTTTTCTCAAGTCGCTTTCAATTAACCCTCACTTCACATTCAATTCACTTTCACTTTACTTTCACTTCTCTCTCAATTCACTTTCACTTTACTTTCACTTCTCTCTTAATTTACTTTCACTTCACTATTACTTCACTTTTACTTCACTATTACTACTCTTTCACTTCACTCCACAATCAATTCACTTTAATTTAATTCTCTGTTCACTCTCACCTCACTTTCAATTGGCCTCTATTTCATTCTCACTTCACTTTGAACTCACATTAACTACATTCTGAATTAACTTTCACTTTACTTCCACTTACTATATTTTCGCTTTTCTTTCATTTCACTCTCACTTTATTCTCAATTCACTTTCATTTCACTCTTAGTTTACTTTCATTTCACTCTCAATTCATTTTCAATTCATTTTCACTTACACTTTACCCTCACTTCAATCTTAAATCACACTAACCATTTTCTCAATTAACGTTCACTTTACTTTCACTTCATTATCAATTTACTTTCACTTCACTCTTACTCCACTTTCGCATCACTCTTAATTCATTCTCACTTTATTTTCAATTCATTTTCACTTTACTCTTATTTTACTTTCATTTCACTCTCAATTTAATCTCACTTTACTTTCATCTCACTCCCAATTAACTTTCACCTCATTTTCAAAGAATTCTTACTTTACTTTCCCTCCACTCTAAATTCAATCTCACTTTATTCTCAATTCACTTTCACTTCACTTTACTCTCACTTTAATTTCAATTTATTTTATTTTCCCTAGTTTATTTTTCCCAATTCACTGTCATTTCACTTTATTTTCGCTACACCCTCAATTCACCATCACTTCACATTAGTTTCACTTCACTTTTCATTTATTTTTACTTAACTCTTTATTCACTTTCACTTCACTCTGAATTAACTTTCACTTTACTTTCACTTTACTCTTTTCTCACTTGATTTTACTGAAGGTGTTCACTTTTGCTTCACTTTCACTTTATTTTAGCTTCCCTTCCAATTCATTTCACTTCAGTTACTTTACTTTCAAATTATTCTCAATTCACTTTCACTTACAATTCACTTTACTTTCAGTTTTACTCCCACTTCGCACTCTATTCACATTCACTTCAATCTCACTACACTCTTTATTCACTTTCACTTAACTCTTTCTTCAGTTTCATTTAACTCTAAATATTTACTGTTACTTCACTTTACTCTTTTTTCAATTTCAATTCACTTTATTTTCACTACACTCTAAATTCACGATCACTTCACTTTATTTTCACTTTACTTTTCATTTACTCTCACTTTTCTCTTTATTCACTTTCACTTCACTCTCACTTCACTCTTTCCTCACTTCATTTTACTCAAAATATTCACTTTTACTTCACTTTCACGTTACTCTAGCTTTCCTTTCAATTCACTTTCACTTCATTGTTACTTTACCTTCACTTTACACTTAATTCACTCTCACTTTACTCTCAATTTGTTTTTACTTCACTCGCAATTCACATTCAATTCACTTCATTCTTAATCCACTTTCACTTTACTTACACTTCACTCTCAATGCACCGTCACTTTAATGTCAATTCACTTTTATTTTCATTTTATTCTCAATTCACTTTCGCTTCACGTAATAAGTAACGTAAGAGTGAAGTGTAAATGAAGTGAATATATAGTGAAAAAAGTGGATGTTACTTGTCTTTCACTATACTTTAATCAACTTTTACCCCACTTTCACTTCACTTGACTGACGTTCTACTTTCATTTACTTCAGTTTTCTTCAATTTCACCAACTTTCACTTTAAGCAAATTCATCTTCACTTCACTGTCATACTAAAGTGAAGTTATTTTTGTTCAATTTATTTTTATTTAACTTGACTTTACTTTACTTTCATTTCACTTTCACTCCACTTTCACTGTCACTTTATTTCCACTTCACTTTCACTTTTCTGTAACTGTTACTTTATTTTAGTTAAATTTAACTTGATTTTTCTTTCATTTCACTTTCACTGTCAGTTTATTTTCACTTTACTTTATTTTCACTTCACTTTCACTTTTCTGTCACTGTTTCTCTATTTTAGTTGAATTTAACTTTATTTAACTTAACTTTACTTTCATTTCACTTTCACTGTCAGTTTATTTTCACTTCACTTTCACTTTTCTGTCACTGTTCTACTTTATTTTAGTTGAATTTAACTTGACTTTTCTTTCATTTCACTTTCACTGTCAGTTTATTTTCACTTTACTTTATTTTCACTTTACTTTCACTTTTCTGTCACTGTTACTCTATTTTAGTTGAATTTAACTTTATTTAACTTAACTTTACTTTCATTTCACTTTCACTGTCACTTTATTTTCACTTTACTTTCACTTTTCTGTTACTGTTACTTTATTTTAGTTGAATTTAACTTTATTTAACTTGACTTCACTTTACTTTTATTTTACTTTCACTGACAGTTTATTTTTACTTTACTTTCACTTTTCTGTGACTGTTACTTTATTTTTGTTGAATTTAACTTTATTTTACATTTCCAATTTTCTCAAAATTTAAAAGGTGAGTAATTTTATGAAAATTTTGAAGATAACTTAAATTCAAGAAAAATTAGGCGACAGTGTAAGTGAGAGTAAAGTGAAAGTGAAGTGAAAGTAAAATGAGAGTGAAGTGAAAGTAAAGTGAGAGTGAAGTAAAAGTAATGTGAGAGTGAAGTAAAAGTGTAATGAAAGTGAAGTGAAATGAGTAAAATAGAGAGTGAAGTGAGTAAAGTTAGAGTGAAAGTGAAGTGAAGTTACAGAATCGTTATCTCAAACAAGAGAGATTTCTTTCGTCACGAAAATCAATTGTGAAAATTATTTTTGTCCACCCTTTAAAATCACCCTTCTCCTGAAAAGTGATTGGAGATTATCACATACATATATATGAATGATGCATTTCAAGATAATTTCTCCGCTTGGAACTCCATTTCCGCAGTATCTGCATCCCGCATGATTTGCAGGATCATGATATGAATTTCGCTCCCCAACCCCTTTCCCCTATTACTATTATTATTATTATCATTATTGTTTTTATTTCTCGTTGCTTAATTTCCTTTTTGGCTAAATTGCATCTAATAGACAACACGAGCAAAAAAAAAAAAAAGAAAAAAATTTGTCTGCTTATGTGTTTGTACATATATACATATACATATATATGAAAGCAACAGGGAGAAAGCTTTACAAAATTCAAAAACGAAAGAAAAGGAAGCGAGAGCAGCAGAGTGATGTAGCGGCAGCGTACGAACGCACACGCGCCATCCAGTTGAATATAGCTTTGTGCGATGGGTCGATAACGCGCAACTCTCTCGCTCATCGCAGTCAGCGATGCCACGCTGTGGCCCCCCTAAGCCGAGCTTTCCTCCTCATTCCGCCGTAAGCCCGCACTCTGGCACATCCACCAGCCACCAGGAACCGCAGCCACCTGCATCATTATCATCATCATCATTATCATCATTACCACCACCACCACTCACAATCATCAGTTTTATCATCACTATCAAGTTTTCTTCAGCATCAAAAAAATCAGGAAACAACCACGATTTTAGTAAAAAAAAAAGCTCCAAACCTGCAATATGAATCAGTGCTCAAAGAAACAGTGTTGCATTATCGGCCCAAACAGGAACTGAAAGTATGCGCGGCCCTCGCGTGACGGGAAGTCATCCTGTCGCGTGCCGCGACCCAAGGCGGAAGTGCGACTAACAGGTTGTTGATTCCTCACAAAAACCGGAAGTCAAAATACTTCCATTATCTCAACAAAAAATATTCAGTGCTTTGATAACAATAACAAGTGTTGATAACCATCAATTTTACAATCCAAATGTGTCACAATAATCAATTAAGAAACATTTTTCAAAAACCCTCCCAAACTCAACATTCGAAGATCATCCGAAAAATTGATGATGATTATAAAAAAATGATTCTATTCTCGGTGGATTCGATGATGGATCGATGATGGATCGATGATGGATCGATGATGGATCGATGATGAATCGATGATGGATCGATGATGAAGAAAAAGAAATCAAGAAGCGGCAAAAATCGGTTAACTATCGCGTAGTGGTGCTAAAAAAACGAATTAAATGTCGACGTTTAAAATGCGTCGGACGTCTCGCGACGGTAAATTGTCAAATTGTGTGTGTGTGTTTTATTTTCTTTTAGCAAAAATTAATAAAAAGTTTTGAGGTGAATTATATTATTACCCCAAATTTTTGAAAAAAAAAGAGGAACAGAATAAAAAAAAATAGTGGTGTGAAAAAAGAAGAATTTTACTACAAAAAAAGTGTCTCAAGAGTCTCGACATATCCATGTTTACGTATATTATATATATATATATATAGGGTGAAGTGTTCACTGACGCGAGTGTGAATTTGTTGTTGATGTTGTATTATATATAGTTGGCGTGTTCTTTCGCGCAGTGTCGTTGTGCTATACCACTGGAAAACATTAGTGTCCCACAGGAAAATGAAGAGATCCTCTTCCTTCTTCATCTCAAGGTAGGAAAAATGCATTTGTCAAAAAAGTTATAAAATATACACATGAAAAATATACATTGATATTTTAGCTCTCAAGTCTCGGGAATTTTTCTTTACAAATACAGATAGGATACAATTTCAAAAATTGACCTTTGGACTAAAGAATAAGAGACATTAAAAAATAAGACATCTGGATTTTGTAGATTTGACCTGAGTTTTGATAAATTTAGCAGAAACTACGATTATGTTATTCTTGATGCGAAAGAATTTAGGGGAATAGAGTTTTAATGCTGTTTTAGGGAATAGTTTTAAAATTAGAACATTAGAAGCAGACGAAAATGATGACAGTTTAGATTTAAATCTAAACTGTCATCAATAGACAGGGTTCAATTAGTAGATACAATTTCCAGACCAGTTTCATGGGAACAAAATTGATTCAAAGGAAATGGGAAGCATCTTAATGATCAACTTCAAGATAAGAGGCAACGTTATAGAAAGATAGAAATTAAAACTAAATAAGATAAGGTTCTTGATGAAAAATATCCGGATTATGATGCAAAAGGTACAGATTAAGATGCGAAAGGTAAAGATTAAGATGCACAAGGTAAAGATTATGAAGCAAAGGATAAAAATCATTTTTAGCAAATGATAAAGTTTATGTGATAAAAGATGTGAATTGTTGGACGAAAGGTGTAAAGATGCAGAAGTTGGATAAACAAGATTAGAAGATGTATAAACAAGATAAGAAGATGCATAAACAAGACAGGAAGATGCAAAAGATTAAGACTGAAGGCGAAGATTCTTAGAAACAAGATTAAAACTGCAGTGCATTGGATTAAGATTGTGATGCACAAAGTAAATATAAAGATAAACATAAACATACTAGTACAGGTAATAATTGAGATAATTTTAGTAATCAAGGTGAAGGTAATATGTACTAGTAAACGTAAAAGAAATGATAAAAGGAAAAGTAATAATAAAGATAGGGTAGTAATAATAATAATAAACGGAAAGATAAAGTTTATGAGGCACAAGAGAAAAATTGTGATGAACAAGATTTGAATTGTACTGCAAAGGATTAGGATTAAAAATACAACAGATTAAAATTATGATGCAGAAGATAAAGATTATAATGGAACTGATAAAAATTATGATGCAAAAGATAAAGATTATAATGCAACTGATGAAGATCGTAATTCAACTGATAAAAATTATGAAACAGAAGATAAAGATTATGCTACAAAAGATAAAGATTATGCTACAAAAAAATAAAGTTTGAGGATTATAATGCAACAAATAAAAATTATGATTCAAAACATAAAGATTGTAATGCAAAAGATAAAGATTATAATGCAAAAGATGAAGATTATAATGCAACAGATAAAACTAATGATGCAGACTTAGAATTTATGGTAAACGACAACAAAAATTTTGTTGCAGATGGCTAAAATTATGATAAACAAGATTAAAAGAGGCAGAAGATGAAGATGACGATGCACAAGATAAAGCTTATGATGCGAAAAGTAAATATTATGATAAACATGGCACGGAATTAACTTTAGTTTCAAAGTAAACATTATCGTAATCATAAGAATTATAACCATCAAAAAGGTAGAAAGTAAGTTCCGGATTATGATAAAGATGAAAATAAAGATTGTCATACACATGATGAAGAATCAGCTCCAGATCATAACAAACATTATGCTATTAAAAAATATTATGATTATGATAATGAAGCAGATAAAGAATAAGCTTTGGATTATGATGAAGAAGCTAAAGAATAAGCTGCAGGTTATGATGAAGAAAATAAAGGGTAAGATGCATATTTTGATAAACAAAATAGAAGCTCAAGATTGTGAAGAATAAGCTCCAGATCATAACAAACATTATGTTGTTCAAAAATATTAGGATTATGATAATGAAGCAGAGAAATAATAAGCTTTGGATTATGATAAAGAAGATGAAGAGTAAGCTGCAGGTTATGATGAAGAAAATAAAGTTCCAGATTATGATTATGATACAAAGATAAAGAATAACCTACAAATTGTTACAAACAAAATAGAGGAGGAGCTTTTATTTATGAACAACAAAATAAAGAACATGCTCCAGATTAGGATGAACAACATAAAAGATAAGATGCAGATTATGATAAAAAAAATAAAGAATAATCTTCAGATTATAATAAACAAAGTAGAGTTTGTGAAATACATTAGGTAAGGATTATGATAAACAAAATCAAAAGGATGGTTACAATTTTGCTCAACAGGATGAAGAATATGGCACAAAAGATCAAAATTATAAGGAAAAGGAAAAAAATTATGAGGGATATGATACAGATTTTGCAGCAAAAGATAAAGATTATTATCCGTAAGAAGAATTTACAAACAAGTTTCAAGATATAGTCAAGTTAAAGTTCACATGGTACAAGAGAAGGTTTATGAAGTAGTACAAGATAAAGATTATGAAGTATACAATGCGTAAAGATTATGTTAACCAGTATAAGAATTATGATAAGCATTACGAGGCACAACGTAAAGATTATGGTAAACAAGATCAGAATTTAAGATGTGCACGATAAAGATTACAATGCTAAAGATAAAACTGATGAGAAACAAGGTATAAAATAAATTGCACATGGTAAAAATTGTGAGAAGATGAATTTAGTAAGCCTAAGATGAAGATTTGGATATAAAGAAGATAATTTGGATGAAAAAAGCAAAAAAAAAATCCAACAAACAATTCCGAATAACTTTTAAATAAATATAATACAACTACTTTTGGTATTTAGTGAACGAAAATAAACCCAATAATGAGAAGGAAACGAGTCTAAAAATAGATGGAAGAATGATGTCTGTTATTTTTAGGTCTAAGACCTTAATATACCTAACCTTGGGGGTACGGGAAAGGGTCTTCTCGTCGACTCCCTCCCACTATCTTTAAAAATCGTTGCACATGTAATGACACTTCTAGTTTATCCTGACGTCTTCATTTGAACCCTAAAATATCCCGCCAATGATGATTTACCACATCATTAGGAGAATTCCACTAAAGTACACATAGACTGACCTTGACCGCATTAAGGAATCCGATAAGTTGTCGCATTTAATTCATCTGAGTGACATGCTATGTCATATTCTAAAACAGTAATTCCATTAGTATTATTATCATAATCATTATCATTATCAGTATCGGAAATTTTACCCTCTTTTAGAAAGGGTATTAAAAAATGGTTTAAAAAAGGGGGTGAAATTTAACTCACAATTTTGTCCTCGTTTTTGTTTGTACTTCTCGCTTCTGATAATAAATAAGACAAATTTTTAGTTGAACCAAAATTTTAATCAAATTTGGTAAACTGTATACAGCAAAGGATTTTGGTTGATTTAACAACAAACATTTTGTCGTTTCGATCAACATTTCTTTTATTAATTTCTGAAGTAATAATGTTTTTTGAGCATAGAAGGAAGAAGGAGGGCAAAAAAGAATTGTTTTTTTTTGTAGAAATAATAAATTAATATTTTGAATATGGGAGAGATGTTGAATAAATTTGTTTTTACTTGTTCCTTTTTTCATTTATGAAACTTGTTATCCAGAATTTTGCAGAGAAATGTTTGGTGTATACTAAACGCATACTGTATTCCCTGAATGAAACGTAAACTTTCTATACTGCTGTTTCGAACATTTTACGAAACGAGCAGTTTACTGTCAAAAGGAAATTGCAATTTTCAGAAACTGTTGATTCAAAAGAATCAATTTACAAAGTTATGGCTCCTAAATTCCAAAAGTAGGGTATGTTTGCAAAATTGGACGCTATCAATTGTCTGGGAAATAAAATCTTCCTAAACATGTTGAAGAAAAATTTTTCTTTCTTCTTCTTCTTCTTCTTCTTCTTCTTCTTTATTTTCTACTTTACTTTTTTATTATTTTTTCTTCTTATTATTTTTCTTCTCTTTTTTATTTTTCTTCTTTTTATTATTTTTCTTCTTTTTATATTTATAGTTTTTCTTCTTTTTCTTTTTTTTTCTTTTTTTTTGTACTGCTTTTTTTATTTTTCTTCAACTCCTTTTTTATTTTTCTTTCACTGATTTTATAGTTTAGTTTCTAATCATGTGAATTTCGTTACTCTTTTTTTTTGTTCAAGAAAAAAAGTACTTTCCGTAAAAGTATAAGTAAAATTTTTCTTTCTCTGTTATATAGTTTTTCTTTTTAACAAGAACGAAAATAGTGAAACGAAATTCTTTTTTTTTCCTTTTAAGAGCTTGCGTTACTTCTTCTTTTTTTTATCGCTGTTAGAATAGACATTTAATGGGGTCCACATGGGTATATTTTGTTTGTACAAGTATCTGCCTTCGACTCTAAGTTGTTTATACATTCTCATCGGCTGATGAATTCGCGGAGATTTCCGACGCGAACTCTCTCGCGTATTTTTTTGAAACTATTCCAAATTGTCGAAGGCTGTGATGGTCGCAATGCGATTTTCGAAATGTGACGACGAAAATTCATCTTTTTAATTTTTGACCTCAATTTTTCAGCTTTTGTGCGTTTTCTGACCATATCTTCTAAGTTACTGTTTTTATTTGAGCTAAAAATTTTAGTAGCATTGTGATTTTTGACTGCAGTTGCAAAAATTAATTTTTTTCTTAACTACCCAACCGTGGTCAAATAAAAATTTAAAAAAACGCAAATCGTAACGAAAACCTTTTGGGAATACCCGTTTTGCGAATTAACACCAACAATCATATTATTCTCTTGTTTACCTACCCAACACTGGAAGAATGTAAAAACCAAGAAGACGCAAATTATTTAAAAAAAAAAAAAAATTCCCCGTAGTTTTTAAATTAAGAAACAAACTGTGTAGTGAGAATAGAAAATAAAAACAGGCGAAAACTAAATGACAAAAATTCAGAAATCCGCATGTTTTTTTTTAAATTAACTGGTAAAAATATTTTTATTTCCTTAATTAACTACTTATAACACTGCGGAGAAATAGAAAATTGAAAAAGGCGCAATGATTTTTTTTGAAA